GAAACCCCAGAGTCTGAATCATGTTTAGATATACAGGAAAGGAAAGGAAAGGAAATCAGGTTTCCAAAATAAAATGGCTAGTCTGTTTCTAATACCCTCTCTCACACACACAAAAAAGTTAAGCTGGTTTCCATGGAACTTATGACTGATATTCAGGATTTTTAAGGGCTAATTAAAGAAATGACCTTTATATAGTTTGAAAGTTAAAGAGCGCTATAGTCCAGCATTTAACATTTTAAATAAGGAAACAATCTGTGCAAATGACAGTACAACCACTGCTTTGACAGAAGCTTACCAAAAGAATACCGTGTTAGATAATTATCAGTCATATGCCCCAGAAAATATTTTGAATTTCAGCCATAAAATGCAAAGTTTGCAAAGCAGAACTTCTAGTCATCAGAGGGGAAATCTTAGCCTGCACCAAAATTAATATCTGAGACATTTCATTGCATCTATTAAAATAATTAGGAAACAGACAAAAGATGGGCAGAGGACAGAACTGATACTTAGTTTGTATTAAATCTCTTACTCTTGACTTTCCAGAATATGTATATTCCAGATTCTATGAAAAATAAAGCTTGGAACTAAAACTCTCATATACATACATGCACTAATTTGCATAATATGTTGCATTACACTACCTGTTATGAGCATTGTACATATGCTTTCCTAGCTAAGGAAAATATGCTTGTGTGTGTGTTTATGTGTGCATCTCTATGTGTGTATAAGTGTATCATTATCCCAATTAGCACTATTAAAGCAAATGACAGGAAACCTGTACTCTTTTGGATGGTGTTGGATGGTAAATCCTATAATCTATAACTCCATAGGTACCATCTCTATATTAACGAATCAGATTTGTATTATAGGAGGAGACTGCTATAGTGATTAATACAAAGGTGTTCTGCCATTGTTTTTTTTTGGCAAGATGTTTTTTCAACTACTCATTCAAGCCCAGAGTGATTTCTTGAATTCCAAGCACTATCAGTTCAGCTTCTTTTTTAATTCTTATTCACCTCTATCCAAGCTGCATTCTTGTTATATTTTTTGAGAAATCCCCAGCTTAAAACTGCATTATTTCTTCTTTGTCAGGTGTGGATTGGTTCAGTACAGTTTCTCCATGGATGACTTGGTAGAAATGTTTCCAATTAGCTGAAATGTGAGATTCTACCTATAATGTTCAATTCAAGCTTCATATCTGCTGATTTTCTTGGCTATTGTTATTTGCCGCTGAATTATTTCCAGTGTGTTCTTAATCTTCCTTGTTTCTAAGTAATATTTCTTAATTAGATATTCTTTGGTCATCTTGTTCTTCAGCTTCTTTTAACCGTTCCAGTTTGCTTGCATCTGATTTTAGCATATTGATCTTATTTTGCAGCCTAATCTTCCATTTTGGTGGTGCAGTTTGGCTTTTTTTCTTGTTGATTTCCCCCCCCCCCCCAAGGTATTCAGTTACAAATACAACTGTGCTGTACATTAGTTGGTTTGTTTCTTGCAGTGAGCTGGCATTTATAGTTGATATTGCCCTATTGATATCTTTTAATATTTGTGTTAGCTGTTTCTTTGGAACAAGCTTTAATTGTTCAATAGGCAGCCTTATTCCATTGTTTTTGTGCTGTTCTAGATGTTCAGTTATTTTTTTTGTTTCAATTCCTTTTGTTTTTTAACTAGAGGGCTTTTTTTAATTCTGTGAAGGAGGTATCTGGTGTTTGGGAACGAAAATGATTTAATAGCTATGCTGGCTTCTTCTAGCTCCAACTTCCCCTGGTTTGTCTCTACAGTCTGAGCTACTTCTAGAAGGCTTCAATTTTTTTGCCCATGGTGGACCTTTATAGTTATTCCAATTCTGCTTCTGTGAATACTTTATTTCACATTTTAAATCAACATTCATCTGCTAGCCTCTGTTTGGTTATTTCTGATTCTGGATGTTTTTCTTTCCAGAACTAGTACTGTACATTCTTTTCAGATATCCTCTTCTTATTGAATTTTATTTATAATAACAGATCACTATTTCAATCTGGGTATATTTGCGATGGGTAAATAATTTTTCTTCCAATAGTCCTGCAACTGCTGGCTCTGATTCCTTAGCCAACATCTCTACCCCATTTTTCACCAGATGTCCATGAACTTCAACATCTAGCACAGTCCTTGTTGACCAAGGTGACACCCAATCCAGTATGGTTCCTGTAAATTACATCTCACCATATTGCTAATGGAAGAGGCACTCATTAGTATTATGAGATTTTTTTAATCCCACTATTTTTTAATTTGACCAGTGCAAGACAGCATTGAAAATGATGATTCCCCCCCTCCCCCCGCAGCATTCATTTTGTCAAGGAGTATGATTAGCATGATCATCTACACAACCATACTGTTTCCTTATACTTTCATTACAGGTATGGCAGTCTTTCATTTATGACCATAATGGAATCTGCTACATGACTATCTCATTTAACGGTCCCCCTCCCTACTCTCCCCATTGTGGTTGTTAAGTAGAGAATGGAGTACCTCAAAGGGTGGGGGAGGCCTGGGGAGGCCCAGAAGTGGACGTTATTTTGGGAGCAGCCACAATATATGGGCTGAGCCACATGGCTTAGGAATGCCAAGGGATGAAGTGGCCTGCTTACCTTTTCCAACATGATCTCCACAGCTTTAGAGATCTATAGAAGGTAAGTGAGTGGTCAGGGATGGGGTAGGGAAGAGGGAGGAGGGGCTGGGATCCAGCAAGGTGAGAAGCAGGTCCAAGGCCTGCAGAGTGCTACATTTACGGTCAGTGAGTTAGGATTATGGTCACATGACATTTCGCTTAACAACCATTTCATTCAACAACCAAGATTCCCATCCTAATTATGGTCATAAGCCAAGGACTACCTATATAAAACAGAAAATACCTTATCTGTATTATGATTGGAATTATAAATGGATCCTCTTAGCAATGGCCTACCTTTCCCTCATCCTCTTGCTCTGCTTTTTCCCAGGCTCAGCAACAAAATTTCAAATAAAACCTCATATACCATAACTCTCAATCAATTCTTAGTGTCTCTTTTCCTCTTTTTGGAGGAGAAAAAATATATAGTAGGCATGACTGTGACAAAAGCTGGTACCCTCAACAGACAGTTACACAGTTTGTTTTTTTTAACTCACTTGGTGTGAAAAGGCCAGCCCCATCATAGGGCCCTTCAAGGTATCCATCACCACAGGAGGAGGGGTATGAAAATGTGCTTTAGTGACAGTAAATACACACTATACAAAGACAGGAACACACAAAAGAAAACACACAAGGAAGAGAAAGAAAAGAACTTCAGAAAGAAAAATGGAAAAGAGTTTGAGGAACTGAATGTTATGTCCAGACAGATATTGGAAATGTTCATATACAAAACTGCAAGGCACATCATGATTTGCAAGAGGTTTAGCATTTCACTGTTGTATTTTCCAAATTAATCTCTTTTTTAATTCTATGTTGCATCCGAGAATTCAGTTTAGATCAGGAAAAAGATTTTTCTGCAAATACATGGGCCTTCTAAGGATTAGGTCAAATGGTTATTGGTAACAGCAGAGAGGAGGAAAGATCAATTCAGTCAAAAACTATCAAATATTCCAGTGAGCACAACCACCTCTATCTGCACTAGCTTAAAAGAATGCAGTTCCAATGAAGACAGGAGACAGGCATATGCAGAGGGGATGGAATGGGGAAAGAACGAATTGTGCCATTGAAATCACGATACAAACCCTTATATACCGTATTTGCATCCAATATAAACAGATAATGGGTGGGGTTTCTGGTTTTCCATTTAAAGTGGACATATATGACAACAGAGCAAAGTTTTTGATCACAAATTTTATAACTTCTATAATTATAGCTAGAAGAGATGTCTTTTCATATTAAACATAATTAAGACAATGGCAACACTAGATTCAGAACATCTTAAGAAGTAATTCTTGTCAAATGTTGATGGTCAATTAATTATTCAAGAAATTGTCTACGAGACAGAATTTACAGAATGCTCTAAATCAGGTATGATTTAACACTGTATAATAAGCTGGGGAAATGGGGATAAAGAAATCAGCTGTAACTCATACTCAGCAGAATATTTTTCCCCCTAAAATGACTATATACCGTAATCAATTACATGCAACCTAACTTTCTCCCAACAACAACCACCAACACTGCCATTAAAGAACTGAAACCTATTTCCATGCCAGTTTTAAAACTAAGCCTTCTGTCTTGATTTTTAATCCAAATGTTTTGCAGGAGTATCTGCCAAATTATGTATAGAATTTTTAAAAATCTGAAAATTACAGATGGATAAAAAGATTAGACTGTATATGTTATCATCAATAGATTGTCATCAAGCTTGAACTGGACCTAATTTTTTCATACATCTATACTCTATTCTTATTAATTAAAAATACAATCTCTTGGTATACAGGTATATGCATAAGGAAGTGAATTCTGATCAATGTCTTATTAATGTGTTTAGTTGTCATGCTCTTCATTTTGTATATATTTAGCAATTTTTTTGCTATCAGCTAGTCACACTAGGAAACATCTAAATTGATTTGGAAAAACAACTTACCTGGGATGGGGGAGAAGTAGAGAAAGAGGTTGTGCATACTTCTTGAGAATCTTCTACTGATGGATATGCCACTGCATTTTCTTCACCTGTTCTGTAACAATCAAAAGATACATTTTTAAAAATGGAAATGTTTAATAATAGCTAAGCAAAGGCTCTACGGATAAAAACACTACAGACAGGAACTAGAAGATTTGGGTGGAGTTGAAAGGAGAATTATGACAGAGCTCACTCTTTCCTTAAAAGAGCGGAACTGGTAGGGTGGATCTAATAATTTTGGATTTTATGTGTTCATAAATTTTCCCTGGAAAAGAATGAAATATTTTCTTAGTTTTGTCTTTTGTTTTTTAAAAGGAAGGTTTTACTGATAAATTCATTTCAATGCTATTAGTTGTAGAGATGTACAAATAATGTAGTGTCAGAGCTTCACAAAACGCATTTCTAAACACTGCTGTTCTGGGCAATGAAGAAAATATTAACCCAGGAAAGGTTTTTTTTTAAATTGGTCATCTATTAAAATATGTTTGAATTATGCATGCTTTACTTATACTATCATAAAATCATGCAAACAGCAATTTGTAAAACAAGTGCCAAGTTGTTTGTCAAAAAAATAAATTATTTTCATTCTGCACTTTATTCTGGAAAAATAATTACAATCCCAAGATTTCTCACTGACTAATGTGATATCTGGAATGGATGTGTCTTAAAAAATTCTCATTCTATCCATTCAATTCTAATAGTGTGAGAAATTCAGGCTTTTTCTGCATACTACACTTCAATTAAAGTGGTGAGCAAGGCTCACATAATTTTCTCTACCCGGCAATGTAAGCTGTAAAGGCTCTATACCTGGGATAATTGCCTCCACTATTCATGATTCCTCTTTCCTCACCTGTAATTGCAGGGATGCATGGGTGAGGAGCTGGGGTAGGGACGGTCCACAAAGTGATCAATGATAATCCCCATGATAGGTGGGGTCCTCTCAAACTGCCTGCAAGGCAATAAGTAATAAGCAAATTGTATTATTCATAGGACTGTTCTTTTTATTTTACAACTTGTTCTGACAGCCAATGACGAGAAAACCCATTTAAATACCCCTCGTCTCGTAGTGGTGTTAAGTTGGGACGTTGAGGTGTGTATTTATTCCTTGAACGAGTTTTGAATTTTGATGGTTATAGTTAGACGGTTTAGGTTCATTGAGTCTAACAGTCCGAATTTCTTCTTATAGGATCTTCTCTAATAAATCAAACTGATTCTTCAGGAGTGGACGTAGACATGAATGCTAGGTTGATTCTGTAGGCACATGACAAAGTGATTGTGCCTAGTGGAGTACCAACTGTCCCAACTCGGACTGTCTGAAATCCTACACAGGCAGAAGAGAAATGATCATTGTCCCAACTACTCTTTATGTTAATAACTGTCAACCACAAAAATAAAATGATTTGCTATTGCTCTATTCTTAGCCGAGCACACCAATAAAACTGAAGTCCCCAAGGTGATGTCCATGCAGATCACCCTTTGTGTTCATCAGTCTCTACTGTTCTGCCTCATTTTTAATTTTAGTGCAATATTGTTTGTGGGAAACTAGTACAGTGACAAGCATATCTCTAGACACTATCTGAAACCCATTTCAGATAGTGGAACAGAAAACTCCAGGTCTGAAAGAACAATCCTGTTATTTGGAAATTACCACTACCTTGTACTTAGCTATAGACCTTGAGAAGCTGCTTTTCTTTTAACCTTACCAATTTACTTTTTCAGAGATGATACTCTACTTTGTGACTAAATCCCATAAAAGTAATTTTACTATTATGCTTATGATACACTCAAAAGAGATTGATGCAAACTTCTATTAGTTCTCCAATTGACAAAAGTCAGATGAATATATTCTTTAGTTGAATCCGATATCAGTTTCAGTTCTTCACCAATCTCTTATAAACCTCAAACATCCATCCATCTATGCAGGTTTCATTTCTAAACATGTGAATCTGTCTATAATTGCTCATTTTTATTTTCTACAGTCTGTCAATACTGATAGTAAAAAAGCCTAGATCTAAATTTTTCTGATACCCAATCATACCTTCTCCCAAGCCATTCAGTTGCACTTCTCCAAAGTATACCCTACAACAGATAGGTAGACAAAAAAATTATATACATCATATATGTTGATTCAGGATACAAGGCAGAGATTAAATTTTATTTTTTATTCTTAATGTACAATGACTTTACAACCCTTGATCTGGTCACTTTTTGATCTTCTGTGAACAAGGAAATAAAATAACCATAAGATCTACTAATGTCAGCATTAAAGGAAGTAAGAATCATGGCAAATGCTTAAGTGCCAAAATTAGAACATATGATATTATTATTGGCACAGCTTTGATATGGCCCAAGGGCTAATCAATAAAGATTTATTATTATTATTATTGGCACAGAATGTAGACAACAACAACAAAAAAGAATCAAAAGAAATGTAAATTCCTGTAGTAAGGTTTTGGTCTAAAACCCCATTGATATATTGTCAGTTTTAATTGTTAGGCCCTAGGACATAACAATAACCAACAAAAATTCAAAGTAATAGCAACCAATTGATGTTGAGGATAATAAGAAAAATTAGGAGCCAGCCAGATCATTTGTATTCTGTCTGAAACTACAGTTTTATTGAGGCCATTCATTAAATGCACATGTAGTGTGGAAATATAAATCATATAAGAGTATTTTACTAGTTAGACCAGGCAACTGGCAATACGTATAGCAGGTTAACTGGAAAATACACAGTTGCACAATAATATCACACTATTACACTTTTATTTGCCCGCTAGATTTCAAAAAGCTTCCCCATATTAATACATTTCAGTTGCTTTAAACAGGAAGTTTAACCTAATATTTAGCCAGTTACATGTTCAAGTGATGAAATTACTGACATTAAGATTGGATTAAATGAAATCAGTGATATTCAGCTTGGATTAACATAATTTCTTTTAAATTCTCTCTCCTTTTAAGAAAACACAACATAGCAATATACTTTTAGAGTTCAATAGGTCTATTAGCTTATAGTTGAAAATAGGGTATATAGGTGATTTCAAAATTATTCGATTCTCAGTTATCATTAATATTACTCCTGCTACAATTAGCATTACATTAAACATATTGGTACAAAGTTGCCAAGTGATTTTTATATTTAAGAATGTACATACAGTATGTCTAGATCTGCCCATATTAAATCCTATAGTATTCAATTTATATTCCTCACTTAAATATCAGAAAATCATGGAAGAAAAATATAGTAGAGAGCTAAAATAAACCAATATTTTCTTCAGAGTAAATAAACCAAGCAGGCCAATGTACTTAATAGATTAATAAACCTCTTTGGAGTTAGATAGCATCTAAATGAATGAATGAATGAATGAATATTTTTGCAGCTCCTTGCAGCAAAAACAGTAGAAATACAAAATTAGTGGGGAAAGTTTACATTATAAATATGTTTATTCCTGAAATGTGGAGTAGAACTTATTCTCTAGGATAAAATGTTTATCTAATGGACATTTGTAGTGTAGTACAATTTGTGTGATTATACTATTTTTGCCTGGAACAATATACAGGCAGGAACAGAGAAATATGCATCCATATAATAACTAGTTTAATGAAAAGAAGAACTAGGGGTGACGTAATAGCAGTGTTCCAATATCTCAGGGGCTGCCACAAAGAAGAGGGAGTCAAGCTATTCTCCAAAGCACCTGAAGGCAGGACAAGAAGCAATGGATGGAAATTAATCAAGGAGAGAAGCGACCTAGAACTAAGGAGAAACTTCCTGACAGTTAGAACAATTAATCAGTGGAACAACCTGCCTCCAGAAGTTGTGAATGCTCCAACACTGGAAGTTTTTAAAAAGAGATTGGACAACCATTTGTCCGAAATGGTATAGGATTTCCTGCCTACGCAGGGGATTGGACTATAAGACCTTCAAAGTCTATTCTATTCTATTCTATTCTATTCCATTCCATTCCTCTTAACAATAGAATTTATGACATTTACAAAATGCTCAATTATTATTCCTATCATATTAGTAAAGGAATTAAATTGCTTTAATTTTTCATTCACTAAAAGAATAAACTAAATCTCTGATATCTTTGTAAATTAATCATTGATTGAGTGATTATTTGCCATCAAGACATTTTTTAGTCCTAGCAACCATATTGATTTAAAAACCAAAAAAGAGGAAAGATTATTATAGGACAAATGAACCTATAATTGTTGAGAAATACATGGAATTATGAAAGATTTAGATTTGTTAAAATAATTTCCAAATATTTACAGAATTCTTGAATCTACTGCTATCATGCTGGCTTGTTAATATTATCTAATGAGATTTTATAACATTGCACTAAAGATAAAAAAAGAAGGAAGAAATATATGCAACTTATTTTGTTCATTTTTCATTTTATGGTTTATGCATAGAATTATAATTTGAATAAGATTAAGAAGCAAAACTACTAAGTTAAAAAAACGGTCTGTTTACTATTTTGAGAAATTATAAAATGAAATAAAATTTGTTAACTATATTTTGTCTAAGTTATGAAATACTGAAGAAACACAAGGAAAAATATAGCTATAAATCCAAATATTCCTAAATTGTACACATATTAGAAGAATGCAGTAAACTATCAATTACACATGAGAATCTACTTCTTTATTAAGATAAGATTAAAGCAAATGAAAAAGTTAAAAAAAGAGAGACCTATGCAAGCATGTTAAAAAATACGAGGCTGGATAAAAATAATGGAAATGCAAAAGCATGAAATATAAAACTTGATACAGACAATACAGAATGTATTAGAAGTTCTATTTACTGGCTCTGAGGATGATCAAAGTCAGTATTACCTGTACAATATGACATATTCATGACCTTGTTTCCTTGAGAGTCTGTAGGCTGGTGTCACCCTTGTTATAGCAAGCAAAGATTTCAGCAGTAGAGACAGCCTATTATACACAGTGTAGGAAACTTTGGTTTCTTTATCACATCTATAAGCATATATAAAAATAATTAGTCCAACATTCCAAGAATCGATAAGTTCTGAAGTGAAGCAAGTTTAAAATACAGATAGTCCTTGACTTATGACCATAATTTAGCCCAACATTTCCATTGCTAAGCAAGGCAGTTGTTAAGTGATTTTTACCCCATTTTATGACCTTTTGGCCACACTTGTTAAGTGAATCATTGCAGCTGTCAAATGAATCATGTGATCATTAAGTGAATCTGGCTTCCCCCATTGACTTTTGCTTGTCAGAAGCCAGCTGAGGTTACAAATGGTGATCATGTGACTCCAGGATAGCGCAACCGTCATAAATACATGCCAGTTGCCGAATGCCTGAATTTTGATGACGTGACTGTGACAATGCAGCAACAGTTGTAAGTGTGAAAACTAGTTCTAAGTCTCATTTTTCAATGCCGTTGCAACTTTGAACAGTCATTAAACAAACGGTTGTAAGTCAAGGACTATCTGTACTGAATTATCATTGTAAAAAGTTAAAACTATAGATTATACTTTTAGAGAGTTCTATGGATTTTGGGTAATACACCAATTAATTCTAATTCAAATGAAAATGTTTGCTTTTCAAATATCAGAGAGGAACAATACCTTAAGTAATAATTAATGCAAGAATGTTATAAAGAAATGGATGCATATTACAATATATCTTTGTTTGATACAGAATACATAAAACAGTTTCTTCCACATTGTTTATAAATTAGAATAGGATATGTTTGGGGAATGTGGAAATGGGCTATTTTTAATTCGGATGCACCAAAAAACAAAAAAGTCTGTTTTCTAATGCAGTGAAATTATGATTTATCAAATCCCAACTCAATGGACTTCATTCGCAATGGGGCCAAATTTTCACAGCAATTTACATCATTTGCATTTGTCATTGATGCAAATGAAGTAATTTGCATTGTTTGGTTAATGATAGCATCATGCAAATAAGATGAATTTCTGCATATGGGTAGTTCTCATGTAATGACAACTGGACTTGGCAACTTGGTAAATAAGCAAAGTGGTCACTAAGTGAAATCACAACTCTTATGACTTTATTGCGAGAGATATTTTATCATCGCAATCGTAACTGTGAATGGCTGCTAAATGAGGCAGCCACTAAGCAAGTACAACCTGTATGTTTGTTAGAATGAACATTCCCTTCATCCCAATTAAAATGAAGTTCCATTCTATACTCATTTCCTGAACAGGAATGCAATATTACTATACCTATAAAAATACTATTATGGAATGGAATGTTATCACTGATAACAGATTTATCTAAATCCCACAGCTTTTTGCAATACATAAATGTATTTAATGAAAAGGGAACTATGAAATGAACAAATTTCTGTCTGGCTACCTGACATATGAAAATATTGGATAATTTGCAATACACTGTTGGAGTGCTAGCAAAATGCCCACTTCTTCTCACTTCTCTTTTCTTTTACACTATCTCTTTTAGGTTCCAAGCATTCTAAGGACAGGTAATGTCCTCTCTGTTATTGGTTGAATCTTTCCGATAGATTTTTTTTCTCACTAAAGATAAGAATGAAAATACTTTAAACAGTTACTTACTTTTCATTCATTTCTAAACACCAGATTTCCAGCTCCATGGAATCTCCCTGCCATGGGGAAAAAAAAGCATTTTAACCAAGTTTTATAATGACAAAACTTTTACTTGTAAAAAAAGTACCTAGTACAGATGAGTCAATGGGTGTTGCTGAAAACAAGACAAATGAAACTTTAGGCTGACTTAACATTAGTACAGTTTCCAAATTATGAAAAGTGATACCGCCATATACCTGAAAGAATGTCACACAAAAGAAGCTCAAGTTTTGTCACTGAAGAATGCAGGATATAAAATAATGGATTGATAAAATGCTTGATAAAACTTGCCAAATTTCAATTAAATGGGAATTGGATCCTGGATTTTGGATGCACTCTGTAAGTTAATCCATTTGAAATACCTTGGTTCAAAAATTGTTGTCCCATTTCACCCAGTTAAAGATTATTAGAACCAGTATTTTAGTAGTAGATAAAATAGTTCTATCCACTATCTCATCATTTAAGGCAATTCCGAATAGAATTCCTGGAAAGAAGATCCTACGTGTAACAATATTTCAGTGATTTAAACAGAGCAGTTTCTGCTTTTTATATAAAAATGAAAATTATAATGCTGCCAGCAGTGGTTCACTTGAGCCCTCTCTGGTTTATCTTCACATGATTTGAAACCATATAATAAAATCTGAGATGAAATTTAATAAGAAAAAAAATGGTCGGTTCAACTTATACCTCAGAGGTTTTAAGGGAGATTTCCACACACATTGAGCGCCCAACAGCAGGCAGCTGTCCTGCCAAAGCTTTTTTTGCTTCATGAGTAACTTCTGGTATGTCTTTGATTGCCAAGTTGAACTGTAAAATTAAGAATGTAGATTTTAATTTCCAGGAATCTACTTTAGAAACCTATTGTCTACCATACTGCAGAAATATGTATAATAAAACACAGTTCACAATAGATTAATCTCATAACTACAAAGCAAAATATCCTTTGCTGTCATACACTGCAGATTAATAAATGTTGATTTCCTCATACTATTGTAAAGAGAAAATATACAAACACACAGATATACACAAATCCCATTTGCTTTCACTACCCCTCTCTAGNTAGGCCAATTAGTATCCTTTAAAACCAATAGAAAACTAATTAAAAGTAATACTTAGGCCAGTCCTGCCTGCTTAAAAAGCCACGTCTTGAGGGCGCGGCGGAAGGAGGGGAGATCCGGAATCACCCGGATCTCTGGGGGGAGTTCATTCCAAAGGGTGGGGGCTCCCACAGAGAAGGCCCTCCCCCTGGGGGTCGCCAGGGGCACGGGCAGAGGGGATGGCCGCCATGACGCTGCAGGGCTGCCTGGGTGATCTGCTGCAGCAGGCTGTGGAGGCGGTGGGTGGTCCTGCGGGTGGGTGGGGCATAGCGGGGGCAGTGTGGGGGGACGGAGCAGGGGCAGGGACGGAGCGGGCAGGGCGGTTTTGTGGCACTTGGTCTCTAAAAGGTTCGCCATCACTGAATTAGATAAACAGAAATTAAGAAGATTACTATTGTAACTATCTGCACTTTCAGAATCACCTCAGTTGTAACAAAACTAGAAGAGCAAAATCAAGTAACTTTTTTATTTAACCCCATGAACTTGATAGAGATATGTAGTGAATAATATTAATCATTTGTGAAATGACTTCTAGGTAATGTAATGTGAGACAATGAGTAAGCGCTGACGTATCATTATTCATGATGTAACTTTATTCAGAGTAGATCTGAAACTGAACTCCGCAGCAGCTGATGCCATGTGTGTAGTCAATACAATAAAATACTGTTTTAATGAAGAGGAAGATTGGTATTGAGAGATTATAAAGAAGCTTAAACCCATATACTTTGGACAGATGATGTGATCAGATAGTACACTAGAAAAAACAACTATGCTTGTTAAAAGTTGAAAGAACCAGAAGACAAACAGATAACATGGGCGGATAGATCAAACATATTATTGGAGAATTCTTGGAAGTGCTGTGGACACAGATATACATAGCAAACCAAGATTACAGAAAGCAGAAATATACTCTCTATATATCTTTCAATGCACATTCTACAAAAAGAATAACGGTACCCCCTTTTAAAGTTCTTTAGAATCTACTAACACACTACCCTAGCTCTTTGGAATAAATACCCCAACATGTCCCTACCAAGAATAATGAGCGTAGGCAAAGACCTAATATCAAAGGAAAACAATAGGGAATCAACTACAAAATAAAATGCAAGGATTCTGAATTACATTATATAAAACAAACAACAGAAATCAGCAGAATGCATTCTCAAACATCAACTAACTCTCAAAAGGCACAGTGTAACTTCATTAATCTCCCTCTGCAAAGATAGCCTCAAGAATAATTTCAGATAGGAAACTAGAAATCTTAAAACAAGCCAGATTAAAAATACAAGAAAATTCTTGGAAGCACTGCACTGGAAGCAAGCAGCCAGCAGCAGATATTTTAACTTTATCATATCAAAAGGTCTCCCACCTGAACCATTCCATCACTCCATCATAGTATCACAGACCATATAAAAAACAACCAACAAAGACATGAGACACCACCTCAACAACCAAATAATTTACAAAGCACAAGGCATCAATAACTTACAAAACACCATCTGCCCACAAGGCCATCCCATCAAAAGCATGAACACAGCAGGAAAGGCAAGATATACAGTATAATCTCTACCAACCAATTAACCTAATTTCTCTAAAATTCCTGCACTGATAATGTTACCAAGGAGGTTATTAAACCACATTTGGAGAAGTCTAACAATCTAACAGAGATTCTGTCAAGAAGATGGCATGATGCACGTGACCCTCCTAATATCTTATGCAAGTACAGTACTAATTTGCCTCCTAATATCTTATGCAAGTACAGTACTAGCATTTTGTATATCATAATTTATTACTTGCAGTCCACAAATATCCATGACTATGGACTATGCTCAGAGACAAGTCAAGATGGTGAGCATTTGTCTATATAGCCACTAATGTTGAGCCAGACTTGATAGCACTAAATACCTAGGTTAGAGCATGCTAGGTACAAAATAGTTTTCATGTTGCAAGGATAAAAAAGCTCCTTTCCCTCAAATTTGAAAACATGAAAAACAAGTTGTTCAAGTTAAATAACTTTAATGAATGATAATACAGTCTTAGCACTGTATGCTTATTTAGTGTTCACAGATCAAGTAAAATCTATTATCATAAGTAAGATCAAAGCAGGGCCAAATTTCCAAACAGAACCTTGTTCGCATTTCGCATTACAATCTCTCAATCTTTTTGTTCAAAAATGACAATTAGTGGCATCAGAGATTAGCTAACTGGTTTTGAATTTTACATAAAGCAAGAATAGGCAAAGCTTTTGACCTAGTCAGCAAATATGAAATTGTTGAAGTGCATTATCCTATAAAATGATCTCCATTGGGAAGGGCAGGGTATAATAGGCTCTGCCCTTCAATAAAGGTTGCTAGAATGGTTTTGGACAGCCACACAGCACACCATTATAAAAAGGAAAGCTGTTGAGGTTACTCCTCTCACGATACAGTAGTTCTCATGTACAGTAGTTCCTGCAATTGCAGCTTTTATTTTTCCTATGATATCAAAATACCTCAAAAAAACCCCAATTCTTTATTGTTCCTAAGAATGCCTGCAATGCCTTTATGAGGCCCAGATCTATTATTGGAAATAAAGATGCTACATGCTACCAGTGGTGACTGCAGCATACAAGTTTCTGTCAAGAAAATGAAGGAATATTTTAAAATCAGTCATAGCATAAAATGAGGTGGTAAATGAAAGGAGAAAGAATTACAAGATAGATTATTATTTACCAGACTAACTACTTTACTAATATGGTGGATGGAAAGATCCCAGAAGCCCAAATTTAAGTACAAAGCATGTACATATAAGTTGAAGTCATCTCTCAAGGCTCTAAATATGGGTTGAGAAACAAGAAGACAATACAATAAGTCCTTGATGTATGACAACAATTGAGCCCAAACTTTCTGTTGCTATGTGAAGCAGTTAAGTGAATTTTGCTTCATTTTACAATCTTTCTTGCCAAAGTTATTAAGTGAATCACCGCAGTTGTTAAGTTAGTAACATGATTGTTAGCTGAATCTGGCTTCCCCACTGACTTTGTTTGACAGAAGGTCACAAAAAGTTATCACATGACCCCAGGACCCTGTACCCTCATAAATATGAGTCAGTTGCCAAATGTCTGAATTCTGATCATGTGACCAGAGGGTGCTGCAATGGTCGTGTGAAAAACGATTATAAGTCACTTTTTTCATTACAATAGCTCTGTGATTGAACTCACATATCACAGTAAGCCATGTTTTTCTTTAATCAAAATTAGTTGAAATTTACACATGTTAATCCCAGGGGGAGGGCCTTCTCTGTGGGTGCCCCTGCCCTCTGGAACGAANCTGGCCTAGGGAGGATTTTATACTGGGTTCATTTTAAGGAATTCGAAATAACACAACTTTAAAATTTGGTTTAATTCGGTTTTACAGGGGGGGATTGTATATATGCCTTTGTTTTAAATATGTTGTGAGCCGCCCTGAGTCCCGTTGGGAGAAGGGCGGGATATAAATTGAATTAAATAAATAAATAAATAAATAAATTTATTTAAAAGCGACAGTGGCTACATTCACTCACCCAAGCACATTAGCTTAAACGAATGAATGAATGAAATGTGCAACTCTATCCCAAACACCAACTAGAAATACAACCCAGGAAGATACACATCATGGTTGACAGTCTGTTAGGAGAATTAAACTGCCCTGCCCAATTTTCTGCTTTGACTCATCCATTGAGATGATCCTCCACCAACCCTTCCCAAATCCAAAAGCTGGACTAGAGTGTGTAGACATCATACGCATAATTCTCTTTGTTTCTGCAATTCAATATTCCACACATCATCGCCTGACCCTTGTTTTAGTGTAATTCAGGAAGAGCAGTATAATTTGTAAACATAATCTATGGAGATCTATGTACATTTCAGCTGCAAGAGGTATAATCATTACCTGCGCTAGAGAGGCTGAGGTGACAATTCGTGGTTTCATCCCGGGATTAACCCAGAGGCTTAATCCTAGCCTCTTTGCTTGGCCATATTCATTCGGCGTCTCTTCCTCTCGTCTTGATACAGGATGGAAGACGCCTCCTTTCTTCCTGTTGAGGATCTTCTCAGTTTCAGGTAGCAGAGAAATCAGGGTATTTAACAAGGGAACCTTCTCTGTCCAACTAAGGAAAAGCACTAAGGATCCTCCGTCTCCACTAGGCAGGCGACCGGCTGCGCTGCCCAGTTTCCGCGAGGATACCGCCAGGAAAGGCGCAAGGGGAGAAGGAGTCTAAATCCTCAGCTTGGCTCTTGAGGGAAGGGGGTGAAGAGCGCGGTGGAGCCCGATAACCCCGAGCTAAAAACCAGAATTTGGCCCTGGGGCGGCAGCCCCAACAGCTTCTCTTTCCAGGCTCAAACAGAGGAGAAATGCCCCCAAGCTCGACTACCAATAGACTCCGGTCCCAGAAGCGCCCTTCCCGGGAAGAGCCGTCTGAGAGACGCTTGTGGCCAAAGCAAGCAGCCGGCTGGTCGGCCCCCTAACCTGGTTTCTTCGCTGGAAACTGCGGGGGCCGCGACGCTGCCTCACGACCGCGGCCTCTCCCGGGATCCCGCAACCGCCGTCACCCCCGCCGCCATTGCTGATGTTTGTTTTCATCGGCTTAGGGCAAACGAGGCAACCGGGGCAGCACTTTTCACGCGGAGTCGAAATATTTTTTCCTCTCCTCCCGCCGTCTGATTTCTGCCTCCCTCCAGGGGAATTAGGCCGCAACGCTCATAAGTTCACGAATAAGAAGGCCCGCTGCAATATATATATATATATATTAAAAATTATACTTGTGAAGAATCTGCGTTTGGGAAACGGCAGCTTGTGCGTCGTGTGCGAGAGCGGAAAGCTCCGCCTGGCTTTTCCCGGCGCTGGGGAGAAAAACCGGAATTCAGCGTTTTTGGCTCCTTTGGACTAATCCTAGGATGGGGAAAAAGAGGTGAACGTGTGCAGGCTGTTTCTTCTCCCCCACGACACACGTTTTTTTTTTTTATTTCTTGATCACATATCTAGCACACCCTTCACAGCCTAAGTTCCTAACACCGGCTTTTGGTCCCCCCAAATGACTTCCAAGCAAACCCTTCTCTGGCTTAGTTCCTTGACCCTGGCAAGAGCCTGTGGCTAGGGCGATTGATGAAATGCTTCATCCTTTAAAGCGTTCTCTTGTGCAACTTAGCTGATTGCTGTTTGGGCCCCTCATTTCAAAGTAAGTCTTAGTTTGTATCGTAAATACATTGATATAGAATATAATGTACCCGTAGTCAGCTGTAGCTTGTTTTGAAATGGGCTAATTTCATGTTTCTCTGCCCTTCTCCAGTTGCTGCTTTTGTCCTCAGGCCCCACTTTATCATGTATATCTAATGCCCATATCTAATGCCCACTTTATCATGTATATCTAATGCCCATGGATCTTTAGCACCATCCATTTCCATTGCTTCCCATTCTCTTTAATTAAAATGGTTCTTGGTATCTTAATCTAAGACGAAGTTCCTCAAAGTGATCAATATTGACCTTCAAGGGTTGATGGCATTATCTGTTATTATTTATTGTTTTCATATAATATTGGGGGTCAATGAACAGTCTGAAATTTCATGAAGGGGTCAATGTACTGAAGATTTGGGGACCCCTGGTCTAGGACCACAGCAAGTAACCTGCAAGACATGCTATGTCAAAATGTGGTTGTGTGGTTTCTCGCTCAGTACATACAAACATGTTTTCTACCAAAATAAAACAGATGTTGCCAGCATCATTATTGAAGGTCCCTTTGTTCTCCAAACAGTTTGTAACTTGAGAAATATGTTTGGCTGCACAAATAATCCCCTCTAGATGTGCTGGTGTCTAACACAATAATGAATTATGCAATTTGTTTAAGCATATAAAGATAAAGGTTTCCCCAGTCATGTCCAACTTGAGGGGGCAGAGCTCATCTCCATTTCTTAGCCAAGGGAGCCAGTGTTGTCTAAAGACATTTCTGTGGTCATGTGGCCAGCATGACTATACCCCAAGGTGGATGGAATGCTGTTACCTTCCCACCAAAGTGGTACCTATTAGTCTACTTATGTTTGCATGCTTTCAAACTACTACGATAGGTGGGCAGGAGCTGGGGCAAGTAACGGGAGCTCACCCTATTGCAGGGGTGTCAAACTCAATTTCATTGAGGGCCACATCAGCATTGCAGTTGCCCTTGGGGGGCCGGGTGGGTGTGGCCAGGGTGGGTGCGGCCTACTGGGTGGCCGTGGAGGGAGTGGGTGTGGCCTACTGGGTGGGCATGGCCAGCTCTACATTGTTCGTGTCAATGGTGCCTGTGGGAGCCTAGGCAGGAATCAGACAGATCTGAGGGTTTCTGGCAGAAGGGGGTGGGACGAGGTCAAATGCCAAGGCATGGTCCACTGGAGGAGCCTCACTGTTCCTCTCAGGCCATGTGAAGGGGGCTGGATGGTGGTGCGGGCTGCCTGGAGCCCTGGGCAGTAGAGGTCAAATGCCCAGCCTGGCCCTTGAGCACCCGTGGCACCGAGTCCAGCCCCACTTCCCCAAGGGGGCGCCAGCTGCACTTACCTCCTCCTCAAGGCTGCTGCTGCTTTGCTTGCTCTCCTTAGCCAGGTTGTTCATGATGGGTACCAGGGCAAAGTCAGAGGGAGACTGAATGCGTTTCAGCATAGATGGCCACCACAAAATTGTATATTGGGTCCCGGCCGGCTGGCCTGGGCCAGGGCCAAGGCACTGTGGGCCGTTTCCTCACTGTTTCCAGGATGGCTTCGCGGGCCACATGAAACCACTTCGCGGGCCGCATCCGGCCCCAGGGCCTTGTGTTTGACATGTCTGCCCTATTGCGCAGTACTTGGATCTTGAACCTAGGCTGTGAGCTTTCCAGCTGACAAGCTCAGTGTTTTTAACCAGTGAGCCATTGTGCCCCTTATTTAAGGATATATTCAATAACTAGCTGTACCCGGCCATGCGTTGATGTGGTTCAGTCTGGTTAAATGGAAAAGAAAGAAAAGAGAAAGCGCACGTTTGTAATATGTTTAATTTCACAATGCTTGTTGGTATACAATATTTTTTGTTGTTCCATTGTCTGTGCAGATATAGAGATTGTCTGGTTTGCCGACTCTAGAACACACAACATAATTGTCCAACCATGTTTTTACCTGTCACAGGTGTGACATCTATATAATAGTAGGTATATAAAAACACGCGTATTCGAATGCAACGTTGTGTCAAAATTTCAAAGCAATTGGTGAAGAACTTTCGGAGATTTAAGATTTGAACAAACGAACATTTACATTTTTATTTATAGATATAGATATAGATATAGATAGAAGATATAGATATAGATAATATAGATAAATAGATAAATAAATGTTTTCAAATGAAATCTGAAATCTTTTTAAATAAATAAATTAATAAATAAATGTTTAATACTTTATAAATTAATACTTTATATTAATTATACTTTAGTAGGAACTCTAGAGGCTAGGAAAAGCAAGTTTCTAATGCCACGTTATGGCTGGAGGCAGGCTGCTGACAGTTCAAACAAGGGCATGGTTAAGTATATTCAAATACTGGCTAAAGATTAATCTCCAACCATAAGGCTTGACCTCTTCTGTTTTGTTTGACATATGTCATTCTACCTGGAAGCAACAAATTGGAGATAAAGTTCAAAAATTGGGCTAAGCACCAGAAGTAATACTTCTAAAGTTAAAGACATGTTTAGTTGGGGATATGAATGTGCATGTATTTTTGCCTCTAGAGATGATGACTTCTTAGATGAAAATACATATAATTGGCATCAAATGTTAAAGTGTATAGATCTGGAAATTAATAAGTTAGGATAGTTTATTTAACAGGGAAAATTGAGTAAATGATCATCGCAAATTATATATAAATGGCACAAAAATGGAGCAAAGAGATTAATGCTTAGGAAGCATTTTCCTAAACTTGTTTGACTGATTTGGAGAATATGCTACCAATTTCCTGTGGAATATATACAGTTTTATATGTGACATTGGGTCAATATTAATTGTACATTCTTTCATGCTAACATATTCCCTGATCCTGTAAAAGTTTAGCTTTTTGAAAACAAATCATTAGAATTTTGCCAGAAAAATTGCCGTAATTTATCATTAACTGAAGGTTAATAGCAAAATCTCATGGAGGCCTCATTTCAATCTTTCCCAATAAAATGTATTTGGTAGGAGTGTGGCACATAATACTGCAGGACATTTTATTACTTATCTTTTGCTTGTATTCACAGAAGATTATATAGTACTTTGGTTTTACAGCAAAAATATCAAAATGAGAGTTTCTGTATATAAATGAATTTCCAGTCCTACTAAAATATTGTTCTACTTAAGTCAATGTGATTTATGTTGAACTGAAGTAGGATGAAGAGAACAGCAAAGGAAATGTGCACAATTTTTATCAATATGTTGTATTTTCTTTTTGCTTTTCACCTGCATTCTTTTCTAATGAAGGTCAACACAGAAAGGAAGATCAACTTACTATGGCTATTCCCATAGCAGTTATTGATTGTGATCTCTTATTATATGGACGTGGACATAGGACACTGGATCGCTTCAAGCTGGAGGATGTTACTGATGAATTTCTTGTATCTATGTATGGATTTCCACGTCAGTTCATTTATCATTTGGTGGATCTTCTAGGTGCCAATCTTTCTCGTCCTACTCAACGATCCAGGGCCATCAGTCCAGAGACACAGATTCTTGCTGCATTAGGATTTTATACTTCTGGCTCATTTCAGACTCGCATGGGAGATGCCATTGGCATTAGCCAAGCATCTATGAGTCGTTGTGTTGCCAATGTTACCGATGCCTTGGTGGAAAGAGCCTCTCAGTTTATTCATTTCCCAGAGGATGAAGTGTTAATACAACATATGAAAGACGATTTTTATGGGCTGGCAGGTATGCCAGGGGTACTAGGATTGGTTGATTGCAATCATGTAGCAATAAAGGCACCCAATGCTGAGGATTTATCGTATGTGAATCGAAAGGGCCTTCATTCTTTAAATTGTCTGATGGTGTGTAATGCCAGGGGAAGGCTGCTAAGTGCGGAAACACACTGGCCAGGAAGCCTGCAGGACTGCACTGTGCTTCAGCAGTCAGCTCTAAGAAATCAGTTTGAAGCTGGTATGCAGAAAGATGGCTGGCTACTTGGTAAGTTCATGCTGATTGCTAGTTCTCTAAATCTATTTTCAATAAAGTTCTGATTGATTTATTGACATGTAAAGTAACCCAAACATAGTTGCATCATAACATGCCTGCTTTTATAAATATAAATATGTGTAGCTTAAGATGTATATTTTGTTCCCTTTGCTAGGATTTCAGATTCAAATGTCGGTTGCTGAAAATAAAACTAGAATCTTTTGCTATTTACTAGGAATCTCATTTTTTTTCTTGATTTTATAGGTGATAGTTCATTCTTTCTTCGCACCTGGCTAATGACTCCTCTGCATATTCCTGAAACACCTGCAGAGTACAGATATAATATGGCACATTCAGCAACTCATAATATTATTGAACGAACATTCAGGACACTCCAGGCTCGGTTCCGTTGTTTGGATGGATCAAAAGGGACATTACAGTATTCTCCAGAAAAAGCAGGTAACATCATCCTTGCTTGCTGCGTCCTTCATAATATCTCTCTGGAGCATGGAATGGATATATGGTCTTCCTCATATTCGGAACAAGCGGAACATCCAGAGGAAGAATATGAGCACATGGAATCTCTTGACTCTGAAGCTGACAGAGTTCGCCAGGAATTATTGCTAACACATTTTAGCTAACCAAATTTGAGAATATCAAGTTGGTTTTAAGAAAAAAGGTAGAAGGAAGCATAGTTTGATCTTTATTTTTATAGAATTTGCCAAGAGGGGTATATTTATCAGTACTTTGCAAAAATATTATCTTGAATGTGTGCATCTCTAAGTATTTTGATTCTATTGTACATGTTGTATTTTAGTCTACGAAATATATGGTTGTCTTTAATGTCGTTTACTAAAAAAAATCATTAAAGATATACAGTAAGATGAAATCTAACAGGTTTATTTTCCTGATAAAATGCTTTATTTTGAAGTTTTGCAAAATATTAAGAATATCTTGTTTTCTTTGTAATTAAATTCAAAACTATTAAGTTCATATGACTAATTGCAATTTATTGTTCACTACCCCAATTATATAATTTATTTTGCTGCATAATTTACTATGCATTTTAATTATCAACTATATTTGTGTAAAAACATTTGTGTTGAAATGATAGAATTCTCAAAAGGATGTGTCACTTCAAAATCTGTATTCTCTTATACTAGCATCTTGGCATCACCTTCAAGAATGTAGGTCACAAAGGATTATGTCAAGAAACATTTCATAGCTTGCTTCTCCCTCCATGTGACACCTATGAGCAAATCTGAATGCACCTTAAACAAATGTGATAATTGCCAAAAATCTGTGTGAATTTATAATGTGGTTCCAAGAAAGGCATATTCAGATCTAGTCAGCATCCAAAGAAATATAATTTCTCAAGCACATAGAGAAATCTCACTTTATTTTGCATTGGCAAGATCTCAGTTTGACTACTATGTCCAGTTCTGGCAATGTACTTTAAGAAAAAAATGGAGAAGTTGGAAAGGTTCAGAGAAGCAAGAATGCTCAGAGGACTGGAAATTAAATCCAGTCTCTTGAATTTATTTAAATGCAATTTTAAGAGTGGGAAACGTTACCCAGAGACATGATTCAATCCTTAGACAGACATCTGTCACAGGTGCTTTAATCACAATCTGTCACAGGTGCTTTAGTCCAGTAAGCACCTGACCTGCTTACTGGACTAAATAGTTCCTTTTAGTTTACTGATTCTGCAAAAAAGTCGCGATATGTCACAACACGTCACATCACATGACGTTGCGAGTTTGACACCCCTGTTTTAGAAGATCACAACCTGACATTCGGATGGCACGGATACTTATGGTAGGATAAAGTTGAAACTAATGTGGATTTTAAAAATCATTTTAGGGTCATTGGTGCTCTCTGAGCTTGGTGGTTTTCTTGTGGACCTTTCATTACCAAACTAGATAACATTATTAATCCTACCACAGTTCAATCCTGGACTACAAACATTCTCTTCTATTGAAAAACCATTTTATTAGATGTGCCGTATTGAGAATATGGAATAGATACTAAGTTTTGTCTGAAAGCACTTATGAGGATCTCAGTACAATAAGCACTCCATAGAAGAAAAACAACAGGCAGAGACAAATGATTAACATAAAAGGGATTATTGGAAAAATTACCAAGGGGAATACAAGATTAACTCAAGAGAGTAACTGACATTCCTGAAAATAAAAGTAGCAAAATAAAATGCCTAAAAGATTTGAGATGCAAAGCACACAATCATTTTGTCTCTAAAGTTTCAGTATTTTAGGGAAATAGAATATGCTGAATGTTAAATAATTGTGGGGTCCTTGGTAGTCTGAGTTTGGTTGTTTTCTTGCAGACATTTCAATACCAAACTGGATGACATCACCCATGCTACAAATATTCTGTAAAAAATAATTTTATCAATTAAAACTAGGGTTGCCAGGTCTGCTTCCAAAAAATAACGGACAAGTGGGGGGGGTTAAGTAGTAAAAAAAAGTAGACTGTACAGCTTTAGATTACGTACCATTTCATCATAATGCTTTTGAATAAAAAAAATGTCCACTATTTTGTGAAAAAAAATAGTGAACATAATGTGAAAGAAGTGGACACCTGGCAACCCTAATTTAAAACACATTTTATTTTGATTTATGAATTAGCTAAATCCCCACACAGGAATCTTTTAAAGGCAGGTGGACAGCCTCACATCATAATATATATTTAAATTACATGAGTTGAGTTGTTTTTTTTAAAATCAGAAATTATGGATATGTATTTTGAAAGATGGAGAGAAGAAGAGAGGAGAGATGGAAAGGAAAGGCGAAGGGGGAAGGATAGGTCATTGGTATCCTCAGGCTTTTCCCCGGATGTGTGGCGAGGATCAGATGACATCAGAACCGAGAGATCTACATAGATCTTGCAAATTCGGCTTTCGCCTTCCTTTTCCTCTCCAGCAGCCTCCCTCCCGGATCTCGCTCTCTGAATTCCGCTCGTCAGATTTGCTCTAGTTGCGACTCCTTCGTTCGATCGGCTCGGCGCTCGGTCCGCGACGGCTCCAGACTCGACTGCGAGGCGCTCGGCTAGGCGCCCTGGCCTTGATAGTAACCCGGAGAGGCAACGACGAGAGAAGCTGCATTGGAAGGAGAAGGCGGGGGAGATCGTCGCCGGATTGGGCTCGTTTCCTCCCCGATTAGATCCCGGCCACTTCGGTAGCCGAACCCCCCCCCTCCCCGCCCCAACCGTCCGGCCGATTTTGGGGCGTTGGAGCGCGCCGCCGGGCCTCGGTCCCTCCCTGCCCCAGGTAGGCTCCGGGCCTAGAGATTCCGGGCCTGCTTCCCCCTCCTGGAGTTGCCGGCGGGGAGAGGCCACGAGTGGCGATTTCGAAGGGATGGCGGGGAAGAGGGGGAGAGGGCCGGTGGGCGCTGAAGGTCGAGTCGCCTGGGCTACGAGGCGGTAGGCCCAGCCTGGCGTCTTAAGTTCTCCAGCCCGCCCACCTCGAGCACCCACCCCCGTCCTTCAGTCGGGGAACCTGCCCGCTTAGCCCGCATCCCCCGTTCTTTGGCTCGGGCAGACTTTCGGGAGTCTCGGCGCCCCTGATAGGTCTGGCTAAGAGTTGGGACCCCTGGAGGGGACGCCCAGGCCTACCCGCGGAGATTTTTCATGGCGGTCAGCCTCCCTCCCAGCCAGAGGCCTCTGCTTAAGAGGCGGCAGGGCTGGCTGGCTTGTTAATTTGCGGCGTCTTCTGGCATATTTCGTTCCCCTCCCCTTCCCCCTGGGTTTTTGGTTTGTTTTAGCACACGTAAATACGGGCACGTAATCTTTCCTGCTTCCTCCTGTTCTTTTCCTTTTCCTGCTTCTCTGGTCCTCTCTGAAGGCAGAGATGGGGTTGTTTTGCTCCCCTCCCAAAGAGGAGAGTTTTCCATCTTCTGCCTTGCTAGAAAAAATTCTCCTATGCAGAGAGTCCTGTTCTCTTTTAACCAAGAAGGTTTTTTTTTTCTTTTTAGTGGAGAGCGACTAAGCAAACCCTGTGTATGTTTTATTTAAGAGAAAACACAGTGAGACATATATATATGTAATCAGGATTGCAAGGTAGAGCCATCCAACTGTTTGCCTTTTAAGAAAGGTGCTGCTCACGGTGAGACAATGAATGCAGTCTCACCCATGCTAATCTCCCCAACATCCTATGGTAAGCTACAATTACAGGTATGCAGGGGTTTTTTTTATAGAAAAAGAAACAACATCCTTTTCTTTAAAATCTGTATTCCGGCCACATGTATGCAAAGAAAACTTCTTTAAAAAAATTGGGCCGTCTTGGAACAGTTCTAAAATAAATTCTTTTTTTTCTTCAAACCATCATTTTATGGTGTAATATGTGTCAGATGCAAGGATCCCAGCAAGACACCCCAGTTGCAACAAAACAAAACCCAGAAACCCTCAATGTGTTGCCAGTAGAAAACTCTTATTTTCCTGTCAACATTTGTGCTTTTAATAACACCAGTAAATCTAATAAAACATACCGAAAGCATAGGAGTATGCTAATACTAATCCGTAAGCAAGAAAGCTTTAATTCTTCTGCTTCAAGGTAATTCTCCCATTATTTATAAAATCCGTCAAAAATAAATGTTGTGTACTTTGAAAGATTGTATAAATAAACCCTGGGTTCAGTCTATCTTGCCTTCTCCTGGATATTATCTAATGTAATAATAGCTTGGGAAACACTGTGGTAGTAATACAAAGTACGGGTTTTAATATTTTAGATAGACTAATAAAGTACTTGCAAGTATATTTTTGAATAACTCATTTCAGGGATCCTCCTCTCAACTTTGACTATGCAAATGAAGCAGCTTAGGAACCATGTGTTCTATTCACGAAGTGAAGAATAGACATTTTTCATCAAACTCTATCCAGTCTGATATTTGGTGCCAATATTTGAATATGATTTTAAATATTTTAATGTTTTCCAAATCTGATTTTAAGGGGCGGTGGAGTGGCTCAGTGGTTTAAGGTGCTGGGCTTGTTGGCTGGAAAACTGACAGCCCAAGTTCGAGACCTGAGCGCCGTGAGATGGAGTGAGCTCCTGTTCTCTCCCCAAGTCCTGGCAATCTAGCAGTTCAAAAGCAAGCAAATGTGAATAGATAAATAGGTGCCACTTTGATGGGAAGGTAATAGTGTTCCATGACATCATGCTGGCCGCATGACCGCAGATTCGTCTTTGAACAGCACTGGCTCAATGGCCTCAAAACAGATGAGCACCATTGCCTATATCAGTGTTTCTCAACCTTGACAATTTTAAGGCATGTGGACTTCAACTCCCAGAATTCCACAGCCAGCAATGCTGGCTGTGGAATTCTGGGAGTTGAAATCCACATGCCTTAAAATTGTCAAGGTTGAGAAACACTGGCCTATATAGTCTGCAATGACTAGCAGAGTAAAATCTTCAGGGAGTCCTTTATCTTTTTTTTTTTTTTTTTTTTAAAGTTCGGTTTGCTGTATTTTATGTCTCTGTTAGCCCACTTTATACTGTTATTTTTTAAATCATCCTGAACAATCCCATACTCTCTTAAAATTTTGAAAAAAACCCAAATCAGATTTTATAGAACAGAATTCCCACAGAGACACCAAATACACCCAATCAAACTTGGAAAATATTAACAGCTCTTCCAGTGGCATGGCAGGGAAAAATTATATCCTAATATTGGTACCAAATACCAGACTGGATAGAGTTCTGTGAAAGAGGTTCTGTTCCACATTTGGCAAATACGTGGCTGTCAAACAACTTGTGTTTGAATATTACAGTTGAAAGAAGAATACTTGGAAAGAGCGTTCAAAAATAAACTTGCCAATACTTTACTGGTAATGTACAGTTTACATTTATTTTCACTGAATTTCACTTTGTAATTAACTCATTTTTTAAAAAAATGTTGAGATCATTTAAATAACTTTTAGCTTGTCTTCCCTAGTATTTAATTTAGGTTAGTTATATATCATCTT